TAAGCATTTTTGTCGTAGGTCGTGGTATTCGTCTCGGAGACCTACAACCATAATTAAACATTTCAAAGCTTCTTTGGTCAAGGTGAGGTCTGCATTCTCGCATGACGCATTCACCGAAGCAACATAAGATGAAATATCTTGTCCTTGCTGTTGCTGAATCTTGAAGCATTCATAGCGTCGTACAAACAACGATCGCTTATCTCCAAACAAATCTTTAAGCTTACAAACCGCATCTTTGAATTTCAGCTGGTCTGGTGTGGAAGGAAGAACGGCATTGCTAAATGTAGCATATTCACTTTCGCCTATTTTTCCGACAAGAAGTCGTACTTTTGCTGAGTCGTCTAGACTTTTTCCTTCTTCCAAAAAGAAATTTGAATACCTCTTATACCATACTTCAAAAGTCTGTCCAGCTTCTGGCTCATAATAGAATTTTCCAATTCTAGAATCCAATGCAGAAGCGAGAGAAGCGGCAGCTGAATTATTTGCATTTGCACCTAGCACTTGCATTAATTGCTGGAATTGTTCTGCTGTAAATGTTGCCATTGTCGAATAAACCGATTTGCGCCTAGCAAACAATCAAACAGCGCCTAGCTGTGATAGGGCTTTTTGTAGAAATAATCAGGACCAGCGCCTAGCTGTTTTATCACTAGCGCCTAGCTTGTGAGTCCTTTAAATCAAATCAGAAGAATAACAAGCGCCTAGCTTGTTGATTGATTTGCGGCAGTGTTGGCGTGTCAGAAGCGACGCCAAGTTATCGATTTTTTGAATGAAAGCCAAACAGGCAGAGGGCAACTTATAAATTCCTTTTAAAACTTAAATAAACCTGCAGAATCTCAGCGTTCGAATCTGACGAACGCACACAAAAAAAATTTTCGAAGTCCAAACAAAAATCAATTCCCTTTTTCGACCAAATGCAGAAAGTCGAAACTCCAAACAAAATTAATGTCGAATCAAATTGGACTTGTAGTCAACAGAATAAAGAAGTTGTCCAATCAGAATAAATAATAATCAAAATAAAAGAATTTGTTGTCAAATCAAAATTCTTTTCAATCGCTAAAAAGTTTAGTCGACCGCGCCAGTTTTGTTGTGTTTCTCCCCAATAACACAATTTAAGAATAATAATAAAGTTTATTTTAAATAAATAAAATAAACAATTTGATTGTGACCGAGTCACTTAATAAATATGGGAATGAGACTGAGAAAAGACAACGAACAAAAAGAGGGAAAAGGGAAATGCTTAAATACACATAAATGAGCGGGAAGGGAATATGTCATAATGTCGATTAGGTCAATTCAAATTTTGTTCTTTAGAGTCTCACATCTCTAACACTACATTTAAAGACTTCTTTTAATAATTGCTCGATTTAACTGCTAGATTTAATAATTGATAAATTAAAATTAATATCTTTTACTGTTTAGTATAATCATAAAATTTATATGTATTTCTACTTCTTAAAAATATAGTTAAATTTATTTTTCCATCTAACATCTACATCAAGGATGGGACGGATTACCCGAAACCGATACTACCCGGACTTTTTTCGACCTGAGACCCAACTTCTATTGTGATTTTAGCCAAACTTCTGATTCATTATCTCACAAAATATACATATGTATTTACTGAATAGAATCGTTGACACTAACAAACTTTCGAGGTATAAGCATATTTTATATTGCTAATACAAATAAATAAAAATAAAGAAAAATTATTTTTCACAAATTACTAAATAGAAGATGCTACAATTAATCGGCTTTAAATTTTTGAGACGGAAGTGTTTATATGTATTTTTGTTAATAAATTAAAGTATCAAAAAATTATTTAAGTGTTTCATTTTTAATATTATTTAAAATTAATAAAAGTTAATTTAAAGAATGTTCTCTACAAAATACCTTAGATTTCCTTTTCAAAATCCTCGCCGAACACACGGAAAATATCTCTCGATATAAACAAAAATATTTGTTCTCTTTACTCAAAATATAGTTAACGATCTACAAATTTTAAAAGCTTTTCGATTTTTTAAATTAAAAAAATTTTATAAAGTCTAACTTTTGACATACATAATAAAATTAATTTATTTTATAAAACGTAAATTTCTGAAAATCAACAAACTCACTAATTTTCAAACAAAAATTCATTTTTATTTCAAAAAACATTAATTTTATTTCCCTCATTCATTCAAAAAAAAGTAAAAACAAAAGTACATTTATATTTATTAAATAAATTATTTTAATCCATTAATTTTCAGCATAATCCTCTTTATATTTTTATTAAAAAGTACATAAAATTTTTTAAATTTTTGTCTGACTTCTGTCTGCTCCTTTCTCCTCATTTAAATAAATTTATTCATCGCCCACTTTTTTTATATTCACATCCTTTTAATAAGCATCTAATTATTATTTTAATTAAAACGAATAATTTGAATAAATTTAATAAAAAAAATTCTTTTAATTTTTTTGTTTTTTTATTTATTATTCTAATTTTTTGTTAGGGTACTAAATGGAAGGATTATTCTGACAAAAAATGGTTAAACAAGGAAATAAAAAATAGGGATGTGGGAGAAGTGGAAATCTTCGTGAGATTTCTCTCGTAATTAGCCCCCCTTAAGGCAGTAATTTTAACATTTAAATACAATATATATGTTTTTATAAACGTTCTTTTAAATATCTCAGTCTAATATTTTAAGTTCATTTAAGTAAAAATATTTTTATATAAGTATTACTTACAGGTGAAATTAAACAAATAAAATTTTGTTGTGTAATACATAGATATCTATAAATAGATAAAAATAGAAAATAAATAAATTGCGGGATATTTTAAAAATAAATGCACATAAACTCTCGTTTGTACCAAAATCATTGTAAAATCCATTAACACATTAAAAGTAGTTTCAGACACTAAATATATATATAAATAATTATTAAAATATATTCCATCAGCATTTTCCTTTTAGAAAGATAAAATAATTTTTATTCTCTAAGTACGAACATTATACCGAGATTTTGATAAATATTTTTTGCTTTTAATTATTTTATTGCTATTATTATTTGCTATATTGATGTTTTATTTTTCCATTTCTTTTAATATCTAGTAAATTAATATACATATTTTCTATTAATATACATCAGAGGTGGGTCGGAACAGTCAGAGGTGTCGGCAATTGAAAGAGCCGGAAATCGGAACTGGCTCAAAAGTCGGAAATCGGAAATCAAAAATTTTTTTTCGGAAATCGCAAGTCGGAAATCGGAATTCCGACCCACCTCTGATATACATATAAATATTTGCTTACAACTTTAAGAAAATTTTTCAAAAAATTATTTTAATTTTAATTAAGTTAACTCAGTTTTTTCGTAATTAATACCCCTCCCCCCAAAATATGATTAAGAAAAATGTGTAAACTTTAGGTGGATATAAGTTTATCGTTCATTTCTTTGTTCATTTTTCCACTTCTTCACATTTCAGCTAAATTCACCCACATTAAAGTACATAAGCTTTCTTTTTTTTAAATTTAATTTAAAAGAATTTTTATTTTTTCTTAAAAATTATCGATCAGGTAAATCAAAATTAATTTAATCATTATTCTTTATAAAATGTGAGGAGGGGGGGTTGACTTTAATAGATTTTTGTAATGACTTCATAATAAAAAGTTCTTTAAAATAATTGAATTTTAAATAAAAATAAGGGAAAATGTGGGGGAGGTGGATGTCAAAACAACTTATTTTTATAGACAAATGTTCATTTACTATTTTTAAAAAAAGTACTTCTAGAGCTTACTTTAAGTAATGTAAACAAGTAGTATATAAAAATTAAATTAGGTATTCTATTTTTGCCAAAAATATATTCCATATTTACCATTTTATTTTGGCTTTCAAATTTCCTTAAGTTTTTCAGAATTTTATATTTTTTGTATCACCTCCTATAGTCCTTCCTAAATCATCCTGATATCCGGATCCGTAATCAAAATTTAACGAGAACTACCCGGCGACGGAGAGTGTCTTGAAAATAATTCTGGGGGAGGGGAGGGGGGGGGGGTAACGTCATTGTAGTAAATAATAAGCTGAAAATAATCTCAGAGTAGAAACTCAGAGGAGTAAGTGTTTTTGGATATATGAACCAAAAAATTTCGGGTTAGCCAAAAAATTTTCGGACCCGGATATCCGGATTATCTGCATAATATTTGTTACACTTTTAAAATTATTTCCTTTAAATCCACACAAATGTAATTGACAGATTTGTAAATAATGTACATATGTATACATACTTAATCCTTTTCAAAATTAATAAATATTATTTATTTTATCATTAAATTTTTTATTAAAAAAATTATTCTTAAATATAAACAAGCATTTATAAATAGTATATTTCTAAAAATTTCTTTTTTCATCCTCATATCTCTTCTTTAAAAACAAAAAAATATTAACTAAATTATGCATAAAAATTAAAAAAGGGAAGGCATTTAAAAAGTGTTTATGCGTGAGATATTATTATAAAGAAAATTAAAAAATATACTACATACAATTCTTTTTTTGCTGTTTTTGCTTTAGGGGGAAAGAAAGGGGAAAATTTCCTTTACTTAAAGCTTATTATTATTTTAATTTTAACGTTTTGTTAAAATATTTAGATTAGCAATGCTTAACTTCACATATAAACTTTTAAAGCTTTTTGTTTGGCAAATTGATTATTCAATTTTTCCCACCCCCTTTTGTTAAAATTTTCTTTAAAATCCTCATCATTCATTTTTATTTTTTTCTCCTCCTTTCTTTTATTTTGTCTCAACAGCAGCGGGTTTTATCTTTTTTAATTCCTTAATAATGAATAGCTGCAAATTTAAATGAATGAATAAAAGTTCATTTATTCCCCTAAGACTTAGTTAAAACATTATTTTTCTTCAATTAACAGAAAAGGGCATCCTTATAATTTAATATTATACGGAAGAAGTATTTAAAATTAAGACATTAAATTTTTTCAGAATTTTCTTTTAAAAATTTAACAATTTACCTAAATGGAAACAACAACAATTCAAAATTTCCATTATAATTTATTAATTAACAATAATTCAACAAAATCCATAACTACAACCTCAAAAATAATAACAAATTGTTCAATGTTATTTTTGAAGGAATGGAGTCGTAGATTTGGGGAAATACAAAATAGTGTAAATTAAAAAGCATTATTAAATTTTATAATTTAATGAAAAATTAGGTGGATATTATTATGTTTTGTTTATGTACTTTTGCTGTATTTTTAAATGTTTCTGTTATTCATAGTGCATTACGGCTTTTCCAAAAGAATTTTGACACAATACATGTTTACATTATTAGTATGACTATTGCTGATTTACTTATTGGTAATTAGAGAATTTTTTAAAAAATAAGTTTTTAATAAACTGAATTTAGATATTAATAGATAGAATTGGAGCAGACCGAGGTACCGCTAGCCAAGGCTTTAAATTCGTTCAAGGTGGTTGACTCCGGGACGCCCTGGTATTGTTCGTTGCGCTTCGACGAGTTGAAACGAATCGTACCAGGGCGTCCCCGATTCGACAATTTTGAACGAAGTTATAGCTCGGAGGTACCTTGGGCCTTTAAAAATATTTACAAAAATCTGCTCGATTCCCGAAACTGTGAAATTTTTTCTTATGCCAGCTAGATCCCTGGTATGTAATATGTAGAGGTCGGGTGAAGACGAGATTTCGATAAAAGGTTACATTACTGAGATTCTCGACTAATCATAAAAATTTAGTATAAGAGAGATAACAAATTTATCTAATTAGATAATTTATTAGGTGATAATTAGGTAATTTTTATACATGCTAAAATTTAGACCCAGCCTCTTCAAAATCTTTAATTTTTAGTCTCATGTATGATGTTAGAATCACTTGATCGTTTATTCCTTTTTCTAACACGTTTACCTTGTTCTGCTTTGCATTTTATTGGATGGATGAGTTGGTCAGCATCTAGTTTATCTTTAGTATTACTTAATAGCGATAAACTACTTTATTTCTGTTTTCCTTTACATTATCGAATAATTAAATCTGTTAGGAGAACTGTTAAACTTTGCCTTTTTGTTTGGATTTTATCTTGCTGGTTAGTTTTTAAACAATAAAAATTGAAAATAATATTTTTTTAAAGTTTTGTCAGTTATGTTTGGCTTTCAAATATTTTAAATATTGGGCCTTCAAAATATTTTGTTAGATGCTCGGTTTTAAATTTTTAACAAATTTTAAAGAATTTTTCTTTCCTTTAAAGACAAGTTTAAATACCGGAAAATTACATATTTTTACTTTTTACACTCTTCTTGTTTGTGTTTTACCTATTTTCTCCTCATTAATTGTTAGCTGCCATCTGTTACGTTTGATGAGCCGTAAAAGAAGACACAGTCTTCGAACAACTTTACAAATTACAAGTTCTACTAGTAGTGAAGAACAAATAACATTAGCACCTGCTTTTACAAGAAAAGTAAAATTAAATATTAAAAATAATTGTGACATTCTCTTAGATTTTTATTAAATTCTTGCATTTAATTAGCCCATTTTTATTATAATATTTTAATTCGTTGCCAGTTAAAAATAAATATTTAATTAAAAAATAATTATTTTTTTTAGGTCCGTTCACTCGTTTTTATCTTCATAACAACAGTTTGGACTGCCATAAGTCTCTTGCCTTACCGAGTATTTGTATTAGCACAATACAACTATCTCGATACTATGCTAGCTGATATTTGTGGATGGAAGGCTTTATGGTTAAGTCAATTGGGGTGGCTACTACATTATTTACTTAAACTTAATCCGGTGTTTATTAAATATTTTATTTGAAAATTTTTAAATAATTAAAGATTGTTAATCCTTGTATTACGGCTTTTATTTACCATCCCTATCGAATGGATTTTGCCAAACGATTAAACAGACGTTTTCACAGCAGTACAAGAACACAGGAGGAGGCTGAACTTTAAAATTTGATTTGGGAATTTTTTAAATTTTATTTAAAATAATCGGGTATTATATAAATAATTTGTTGTTTAACTTTTTATCAAAAAATTTATAGAAGCAATCCACATACAGATAAAATTTTTTATCCTTAACTAGATCAATGTAGTCCTCTAAACTACAGAAACGAGTCATAATGTGCTCATACTAATCCAAATTTTTTTAAATACTATTTTTGATTGTTGATTCTTATTATTTTTAATTATTACTCATCTATTTTTAATTTTCAAATTAAAAAAAAACTGAAAAAAATTTTTTTTTCTGAATACTCCGTTCTGATATCCACTAGGATTGTTCTCCGTTCCCGAAAGTCGGGGAATTTGAGAGGCCCTCCCCCCGTCGGGGAACAACCTTAATATATGTACATCTGATTTTCAACCCAATCGCAATTTTACATACACTTTTTTTTATCTCCAAAGGTGAAAGTAAAATCAAAATTATACATACATACAAAAAGAAATAAACTTCAAATTAGCTTAATATCTACGGAAGTGGATTTTAATATTTAAGAAGTCAATTATTTAAATATTTATAAAATAGTAAATTTAATTTCATTGTCAATAAATTATCAAGACTGAATTTAAAGGTACATTGGTGTTTCTAAAGTAACATTTGTTAGAGCTTCAGTATACATTCTTGGTGTGTCTTCATTAATTGTTGATAGAAGCGGTGGTTGTTGCTGCTGCTGAAGTGTTGATATATTTCCCCCAAAATTATTAGGAATCACAGAATTAGAAGCATTTTGGTCAATCATTATATCTAAATTGCCTATAATCTTTAAATAATATTTAAAAGAAAATTGTGTAACCAAAGGCAAATGGAGGCGCAAAAAATCCCTCAATATGAGGAGAAGATGATTGTCTTGAGATTGGATAAGTTGGAACATTATTAGTGTGGTTGTTCAGAGAATTGTCAAAATTTTGATTAGAATCTTAAATAAAATAAATTTTTTGGAAATTATTATTATTACTAGAAGCAATGGAATTAAGTTTTTAGAGATTTAATTAGAGGAATTTAAATATTAATTTGTAAATAAATAAAACACCTTCACAATTTAATGACATATCTGGAAATGATTGGAGCATTTCTGAACAAGATGCAACCCTTCCAATTTGTTGGTGTTGTTGTTGTATATTTAAATTTTGTTGTTGATTTAAATGTTCTTGTGATATATTATTATTATTTTCTCCAAAAATATTTGAAGAAAGCCAAAAATTTTCTTCTTGTGCTGAAGCAAAACTCATTTCAGTTTCTGAACGTGATTTTATCGAACAGGAGCGGGCACGACGATAAAAAATATTTTCATCATCAAGAGATGGAATAAAATTGTTATATTCGTTATTCAAACTATTATTCCAAATATCGCCATTATTTAATTGGTTAATATTAAATTGTTGCTGCTGTTGTTGTGGCGAGTAATGCCCATCATTTACGCTCAAATCCTTAACAAAAAAATTAAAAAAATATTAAATTTAAGGGGATTCTTCGAATATCCAAACTAAAAGATTATAACTTACTTGGCAAGAAAAGCTTTGCTGTTTCACATCGAAAAGATTTGGTTTTTTGCTAATTGGCGGAGGCCGACTTATGCTAACATAAGGGACATTTTGAGAGAACATTATATTCTATAAAAAAGGCTTTACGGTCTTCAAATTTTTTTTTAATTTTTTAAATTTATTTAAAAATTTTTTAAATTATTAAAGTTACATTTGTTTGTTGTTCTTGTTTTAACGATTGTTGATTTTGAGCAGCTTGCCAACTTTGAGGATCTCTTTGTTTCCAAAGCAAGTCTTTCAAAATTGAATTTTCTCTTTCTAATTCGGCAATACGTGCATACAATTCTGGTAATTTTTGGCGAGCTTCAACTCCTTTCTTAAAATAAAATTTAATTAAAAAATATTTAAATTAAAACACAAACAATTCTATATGCTTCTTGATATTTTCTATTAGCTTCTGCTCTTTTTTGCTTTTTTTCTACTTTTTTAACAACTCCATTATTATTATTAAAAAACATGTTTGATTCTTCTGTTGACATACTTTTGGCTTAAATTTTAAAATTTTGAATGGATCCCCTCATCCTAGATAAAAATTTTTCTTACCTCGCCCACGACAATATGATGATACAGAGGAAGTGCCAAGCATTTATTAAATATTAATTAATTTTAAAATAGAAAAGAACTAAAATTTAAAAATAAATTAACAGGAAATTAAGCAAAATATTTAGGTAATTTAATATTTCAATGAAAAAATAAAGATTAAAGGCAATTATGCAAGCAAAAGTTTAACAAATTTAGCGAAAAGAGTTGTTAATTTAATAAATAGATTTAACGAACATTTATTTAAAATTTAATTAATTAAAGAAAATTAATTAATTTTTTTTCTAAAAAAATATTTTTTTAATTAACAAAAGAATAATTTAAAATAAAAATAAACTTTTTTTCTAAATTTAAAAATGCCTTTTAAATAATTCTTTTAATTATTCACAAACCCCCTCACATGATTAATTTAAAAAATAATTTTTTAAGTTCCTGTTTAAAAAGGACAAAACAACAAAATTGTGAAGGAGTAAAAATACTCAAATGATTAAAATAAAAGGGGAAGGGAAGGGGGAATCAATTAAAATTTGTTTTAAAATTTAATAGACTTTCTTTAAAATTAAATTTAAATTTAATATGTAAATAAAAATAAATTTAGGCATATTTAAATAAATAATAAGGAAGTGTTCTTTATTTAAAAAATATTTTTATTTCCTCCTTGTATTTTAATTAAAAAATATTTATTTAAAAAATTATTTAAAAACATTCAATAATTTATTTTAAAATGGTTGTTTTTGTCAAAAAAATATTAAATTGTTGTCATGATTTCAAAAATAAAAAATATAGAAGAGAACAAACAAAACAAACAAAAATAGGACAAAAAAATGTTGATTGAAAATAAAAAAAGAGAAAATTTAAAAATTTTAAAAAATATTAATTTGTGGATAATTTTAAATTAATAAATTTAATTAAATTAAAGTATCTTTTAAAGTTTTAATTCTTTTAATTAAATAATTATTAATAATAATTTTGATCGAGTTTAAAAGAAAGGAGAGTGTTAATTGAATTAACAAATTAATAGAATAAATTAAGAGCAAAACCAGAAACGAAAATAAATTTTATAAAAAAATTGGGGAATATTAATTTAATAATTTAAATATATTTTTTAATTATTTAATAGTCTCTTCAATAAAATTTATTAACAAAATTGATTAATTCCCGAAGCTCCCGTTCGAGAGAAAATTTAATTAAAATAACTACGTATTCTTTAAAATATTAATTTAAAAAATATTTAAATTAATTATTGAATATTCGAAAAATAAATTACAAAAAAATGCGCATAAAAATGAAAAATGTGAGTTGGCTGTACAGATAGTATGTAGGTATTGTGAATTTGGCCAACAAAAAATATTCTTCCTCTTCTCTTCTCTTTAATAAAAGCATTCACAACATACTATTTATGTATTTTTAGTTACGTGAATAGTTTTGTAAAAAAATAATTTTTTTTGACTATTTTTCTCATAAAAATATGACAACCATTTTTATTAATTCTTTTACAGCGATCAATTCAACAATCTCGATTTTAAATAAATTTAATTTTAAATTTAGATGTTTTTGTTTACCCTTATTTATTTAATTTATTTGTTTTTCTTTAAAATAAACGTATCAAAACAGCATTAATTAAAATTAATTTTTAAAATATATTTTTATTTAATAAAAAATGAAAAGAAAATTTGTATTCATTTTTCTCTATTTTATTGTAAGTATTTTATTTAGTAAAGAATTAAATTAAAAAAATATTTTTTGAGATGATAAATTATTTGAAGCTAAAAATCTTTAAAAATTTCCAAAATAATTTTTAAAAATAATTTTTTTAAATTTGAGTCAGTTTTTAATTCTATTTCATCAACAATGAAGGAAATTACAAAAAGAACACTTATATTGGAAGAATCTGTCGGAAATTTCAAAAAAGGGAATCAGTATTTGTCTGAAAGAGTTCTTTTTACTTTAAGTGCTTTCTTTCCAATGTAAATTTATTCTAAAAATAATTTAATATATTCTTAATTTTTTTTATTAATTTTGATTATAAGGACATTAAACTTTTATTTACTCATAAAATATTATAATAGTTTTTGTGAATTAATTTCTGAACAAAAATCACTTACTTTTAATTTAATTACGAGGAAATAATTTAAAATTTGTATCTAAATAAATAAAAGTTTAAAGATGTGATTCATTTAGCAGCATTTAGTGTTAAAAATTTAAAAGAAAAATTATAATTTTAATAAAAATATTTATTCAAGGAACAGATTTTTAATTTTGGTATTTAATGGGGGAGGGGATATAGCTTATCGTGCTGACCATTCTGAATCTGTGGAATATTCAAATAAAAATGTTGTTATTTATATAACTATAGCTGGTAATAGTTTTTTGGGAAGTAGAGATTGTTATGGAAATATTACAAATGAATTTAGAAGGTTGTTAATTAAATGATTAAATTTAAATTTATAAATTATGTATACTTACTATTTCTCAAAATAATCTACCGTATTTTCTCGATTAATTCCCCTGGGAAATTATTTTTTCAACCCTTCCCTGGCATGGAAATTGAGGGAGGTGAATTATTCGAGTTTTGGCATTTGAACGTGCAGTAGGGTATTCTGGGGTCGGGAATTATTGTTTCAGCCCAACTCTAGCATGGGGGATTAATCGAGAGGGGGAATTATTCGAGGGAGGGGAATTAATCGAGATTTTTAAGAGATTTTTAAATAAAACACTTTTTTATTTTCTTTTAGTTGTTATCCACAAACGAGTAATTTACTTATCCGAATAGGAGATGTATGTGGACAAGAAGGTGGATATAATTCTGAATCTGTAGGTCTTCGCGCAGTTGTTAAAAATATTGAATTTGGGGTTGCAAGTTCCCTCCCTTCTTATGCCTTAAAAGATGAATTATTTAATTGTGATAATTCGACGGCTAAACGTTGGCGTGTTGTAATTGCGCTTTTTCAAGACTAGTTGGGAGTGGGAATAAATAAATGAAAAATAATATTTAAAAATTTTTAGTTCAGCAGCTCAAACAAAATTTTTAGAAAATTATGTTAGCAATTTTACAAGGTTTTTATCTTGAATAAAAAAAATATTTTAATTAATTAAAGAATAAAATCAATGGCAAATGGAATGTTTATAACTTGTAAAAATAACTCTTTATTATTTGCTTCTGAACAAAATTCTGAAGAAATTTGGGAAGAGTTTTTAATCCAATCAAATAATGACGGCACAGTTTCATTTAAATCAAGAGTAAATCAAAAATTTGTTTCTGTTGACTTAAAAAATGGAGGAATTTTGATTTTGGGAGGCGATATAGTTAAAAATGAACAAAAATTTATTTTTGAAAGGAAAGGAAATGAAGAAGAATATACAATTAAATCTAAACTTAATGAAAAGTTTGTAAGTGTGAAACTAGACAAGAATGGAATTTTAATGGCAGACATGGATAATGTTACTGGATTAAATGAAATATTTGAATTTAATACTTTTATATCTGAAATAGAAAAGAATGAATTATTAAGGTGCTTAAATTTAAATACGGAGAGAACTATTTATAAGATACATCCAATACTACTAGACCCCAGTTTAAGTTTCATTTTAAAGTTTGATCGCAGTAATTTTTTAATACCCGACTTACGAGCTCTTTCAAATCATCTAAATATAAATCCTTGATTCCGCCAACCAACAATCCTCTGTAGTGATTGATTGATCAAATGAGTGGTTGATCTTGATCCAATGATTGATCCAAATTGATCCCATCTAACAATTGATCCAACCAATCTTGATCCAATCTTAATCCAAAAATTCTGATCCCAATGCATGTCCGTAGAACGGGATTAGTCTATTAAACAACTCTATTAAAATTATTTTTTAATTAGTTTTCCAAATGTTGTTGATGAAGATAATGGTGTTTATATTTCCCCTGTCTTTGGAATTTTTGCTCTTTTTGGCACATTTGTTGGCTTTGTTGCTATTGGATTAATGTTTGATATTAATTTTTTTAATTCAAAAATTATTTCTATAGGGGATTCTCAATTCTGGTTATGAATAAAGTTAAAGATAAAAGAGGTGATCTAAGTTTAAGAAAACAAATTTACTGGTTTCTTCGAATTCGAAAAGGATTGCTAAATAGAATATTGGATTGTACAGCCATAGATATTGAATATTTAATTTATTCTGGTCATTTATTTGATGGGAATTCTTATATAAATAATTAATTAAAAGGTCCGAATTCTCGTGTTTATTTTGGTCGTTATCGTTATTTAGAAGATGGAGTAATGGATGTTGTTGTTAAAGTCCCATCAAAAGAAGCATTTCGTTTGGATATGATAATTGAAGAAACAAAAATAAATGCGCAATTAAAACATGAAAGAATTGTTGAATATATTGGTTATTATAGAGATGCTTTTAATGATATGAGAATTGTTAGTGAATATATGCCTGGGGGTGATCTACATTCGTTTATTAGTTCAAGAAAAAATGTTAAAGAAAACTTATTTTAAATTTAATATTTTATTTTGTAGATTTTAACTGTTGGACATATTTTTAATTTTATTGGCCAAATAGCTGAAGGAATGGAATATTTATCTTCCAAAAAGATAATACACAGAGATTTGGCTGCACGGAATTGCATGTCTGTTAATTTGATTTTTAATTAAATAAATATTAGTCTAATAGATAAGAGGATACATGACCCTCACATAAGTGTTAAAAAATTGCCCGTAAATGAGATTTACCTAGAAGAATTCCCCTTCCCATTCAGAGGCCAGCAAAATAAAAAAAAAACTCGTTTCATGCTTTTTTTCATTTTATTATTTATTAAAAGGTTGAATCGTGATTGTACGGCTATTAAAATTGCTGATTTTGGATTAAGTCGACATTTCAATGCAGATGCTAACTATACTTGTTCAAGTCCTGTACGTTTGCCTTTGCGTTGGACAGCTATTGAATGTCTTGGACAAAATGGAGAAATTCTTCCATATAGCAAATTCTCAGAAAAAAGCGACGTTTGGTCATTTGGAATTGTTATTTGGGAGTGTTTCTCTCGTGGAGAAATGCCTTATGGTACAGAAGAAGTTAGAGACGTTTTACCAAAATTAAAGTCTGATTGGCGACTTCCCCGCCCTTCTCAATGTCCAGCTGGACTTTAGTTTGTTAGAAAAAATTATTTATAAATTTCCTTTTATTTTTTCAGTGGACTTTTGGTTCTAAAATGTTGGGATATATTTCCAGAGAAAAGGCCAAGTTTTTCTTCAATTTGCATATCTTTAGAAGAAATATTTTCACTTTTAATTGTTGAAGAGCCAGATATTGTTGTTCGAGAAATTATTTAAATAAATTATTTAAAGATTCTTTCAAGTTTTTCATGAAAAGATAAAAATAAAATATTTATTTGATTAATTCTGCAAATTTAAAAAAATTATATGTATAAGGGCACTATTTTTATAAGCAATCCTAAATTATTTTCAGCAGAGAAAAGATCTAAAAGTTACTTATAATTTTCCCGATATTTTTATAGAAAAAGTTTTTTTAAACCCAATTAAAAAATTTTTTTATAAAAAATAAATTCTTTAAAAATCAAATTTTATTTTAAAAAATTTATTTTATGTCAATTTAGTTTATTTTTTATCTTTAATTTCCTTTTCTAACACATCCTTACTTTTACTTTCTTCATTATTTTGTGTTGTTTCACCTTCTGTAAATTTAAGAAAATTAAAAAAAATTTTTGGAAATTTTTAATTTATTTTTAATGAATATATTTTCCACCTTTATTTTCAACATTACAAGAAGATGAGAAGAAATTAGTTAAATATTTCCAGAACGATTCTTCTTTTTTATTTTTATTTTTTAATTGTTTCTTATTATTTTCCTGTGTTATACTTATTGCTTCTGTTATGTACGTGACTTGTATGTCTACGTACTAACAAGAATAAACAACAAGATAAGACAGTGACTAACAAACTGTGCTTTATCTACAATACTAATACAATAGGTTGCGAACAATAGAATATGGCTAAACGCCGAATACGTGGAGACAGAATAGAATAACAGAATAACACTGCGACAATAAGACTAAGACCGCGACTGAATAATAGGAAGGCTTTTATACTAAGCCAATACCCAACACCTCCCTCCTTTAATGAGAATAATTTTCTCTTGAATAAAATAATACCTCCGAATAATGTCTCCAAACAACAAAAAAATACATACAAAGGGGCAAAAATACAATAATTACAAAGGGGGCAATACAAAAAATACATACAAACAAAATATTATCACAACAAAAAATATTATCTCAAACCATCAAGCATCAATGCTAATACCGCTCATCTTTTCATCGTCTTCATTCTTCTCATCGATCGGCTTCGGCTCATCTCGTCTTAGAGAAAATTTGAATTGGTTCCTCCCGATACCTTTTTTGAGTAGTATTCTCTACTACTAATCTTTTGGGTGCTCGAATTGTTCTTTTAGGTCTTTCAAATCGAATTTCATTATCTTTACTTTGAATTGTACTCTTTTCATTTTGAATTGGAATATTTTGAATATTTTTATTCCGAATATGTTGTGGAGTTTTCCACCAATAATTTACTACTTGTTGGTTTCCGAAATTTTTTATTTTTCTTAATTGGTTTGCGTGTCGGTGAATAATAGCTCTTAATTTATCTGAGCGAATTTTGAATACAACACCATTTTTACTAATTATCTTTCCAGGCAGCCATTGAATTTGTTTATTTTTATCGTAATTTCCGAATAGAATATTATCTCCTACTTCGAATCTGTTTAATTTAGTTCCGTGGTGTTTATCAAACCAAATTTTCATCTTATTTCGAATATCCTCTCTTTGACTGTTAATTGAATTTCCTGTTTTTTTCTGGTTTGATTAATGATAATTGAATTCGTAATTTTCTATTTAAGAATATTTCTGCCGGCGATTTTCCGCCTAATGAATAATGTGGGGTGGCTCTATAATTCAATAATACCTCTTGTAGCCAATTACTCTTTCCCCAATTTTTGTTCATCATTCTCTTAAAATAATCTACGAATCTCTCAGCCTGCCCATTAGACTGAGGGTGATATGGTGGGCTGAATATTTGGTGAATTCCTTTACTAATGCAATAATTTTTGAATTCGAATGACTGGAATGGACTTCCGTTATCGGATACAATTACCTTAGGAATTCCGTAATGCGAGAATAACCATTCCAGGTTTTTTATTGAATCTTTTGCTGACGTCGTTGTATTTCCGAATATTTCAGGCCATTTAGAATACGCATCGACTATAATCATATATAATTTTCCATCCTTACATGGACCAGCAAAATCAATATGAATTCTTTCCCAAGCTTTATTTGGTGCTGGCCATGGACTTAAATCTGTTTTAATTGGCCTTTTTAATGCCTTTTGGCATGAATCACAATTTGTAGCGATCTCCTCAATATCGTTACTAATGCCAGGCCAATAAATATATTCTCTGGCCAAATTTTTCATCCTAACAACTCCTGAATGTGTTGAATGTAATGAATCAAGAATCTTTTTCTGCAGTTTAGCAGGAATAACGACTTTATCTGCGAATAGAATACAACCATTAATTATCTGAAGGTTTTGTCTTCTTGTTGACCAAAATTTTAATTCCGAATCTTCAATTTTCTTTGGCCAATTATTATTTCGAATATAATCTATGACTGTTTTTAATTTAATATCATTGTCCGTCTCGATTTTTACTTGGTTACTATCGATTGGTAACTCTTCGAATAGAATATTTAATACGTAATTAACTGAATTCTCAACTTCATTTAATTCATCGGGTGGACCACTGTCGAATGTGTTAGAATCTGAGATTAAAGCAATAATTTTATCTTCATTTTCTGAATTTTTGCTAATTAATCTTGACAGGCTATCCGCCATGCCCATTTTTTCTGTAGAGACGAATTCTATCTGAAAATCATAATTTGTCATAATCAATGCCCATCTTTGTAACCTTGAGGCCGTTTGAATTTTAATTCCTTTTTTATTTCCGAATATTGCAAGTAAAGGTTTATGGTCAGTTCTTAATTTGAACTTCCGACCGAATAACATTTTATGGAATTTCTGAACGGCGAATACTAATGCTAAGGCTTCCTTTTCAATTTGTCCATAATTTTTTTCCAAATCACTTAATGATTTACTGGCATATTCGATTGCCTTTTCGCTTCCGTCCGAATATTTTGGGAGATTACTGCTCCGACTCCATAATTGGAAGCATCCGCTGTAACAATAATTTCGAATTGCGGATCAAAATGCGTTAATAATAGATCTGAACTCAGAATCGACTTAATTTGTTCGAATGCTTTTTCTTGTTCCTCTTCCCATTTCCAAATTGAATTCTTTCTAAGTAATTTGTCCAATGGACCTCTGAATTGATGCATTTGATCTACGAATTTTGAATAATAATTTATTGTGCCCATAACTGACTTTAATTCTTTAATATTTTGAGGTCTTGGTAATTTCTGAATAATACCCTTTTTCTTTGGGTCTGGCTTAATGCCTTCTGCGGAGACTATATGACCTAAGAATTTCAATTCAGGCTTAAAGAAATTACACTTTTCCAATTGAATTTTTAATCCATATTTCTGGATTCTTTCGAATAATTGAATTAGAATCTTTTTATGTTCGGTTTCATTTTCCGAAGCAATAATCAAATCGTCTAAATAAGCGAATACTCCTTTTAATCCACTGATTAATTCATCCATTAATTTTTGGAATATTGCTGGTGCTGACTTAACTCCGAATGGTAATCGTTGTACTTCGAATAATCCTTTATGTGTATTAATATTTGCTAATTTCTTTGAATCTGAATCTAATTCGACTTGTAAATATGCGTCGCGCAAGTCTAATTGGGAGAATATTTTATTTCCATGCATTTCAGACCAGATTTCTTGTGGAGTTGGCAATGGATATTTATTAAGCTCTAGGGCTTCATTTAATCCCGTCGAATAATCAATACAAACTCGAATTTTGCCATTTGCCTTTTTTACTGCAAGAATAGGTGCTGCCCAATCAGCGAATTCAATAGGTTTAATAGCACCCATTTTTAATAGTCGATTAATTTCTTCTTCGACTGAATCCTTAACTCCAATTGGCACTGGTCTTGCTCTAACGAAAACTGGCTTAGCTCCTGGTTTTAAGTGAAGATGGGCTTTCGTTTTGCTACAATGCCCCAGACCCTCTTCGAATACTTGACTGAATTTTGCTTTTAATTCTGTCTGAATCTCTTCTTGAATATCCTTTTGAATTATATACATTTCTTTATTTTCACTAATAGTCGGAATTATCTCTTTTGCAATGGAATTTATTGAATCATTTGAATCGTTGTCGGATAGCGTTGTCACTATTGGATAACCGAATTTTTTCTCGAATGTGATTATCCAAGGTAATCCGAATAAATTCATTTTTTCTTTCGTTACATATACTAATAATATCTCCTCAACTCCGTTTAGGATAATAGAGCAAAAGAACCTTCCAAGAATTCTGAATTCATCACCTGTGTAGCTTTTACCATTGAAGTTTACTTTCGTCAAGAATTTACTACCGACTTTTTTCCAAGTCTCCTCATTAATGCAACTAATTTGTGCCCCCGAATCAAGAATGAATTCAACCTTTTGCCCATTTAACAAAACCTCTTTTTTAATCCATTCGAATTTTTGCTCTGTAGAGACTGACAATATTTCTGCCGAATACTTTTTGCTTTTCGAATCTTTTTTTACTTTTGTTGTGATACACCCGTCACGAATATAATTGAATAATTTTTTCATCATGGTACAATACTTAAGAATAGGTTCGAATTGAATAACTGTGACCGCGCCACTGTTATGTACGTGACTTGTATGTCTACGTACTAACAAGAATAAACAACAAGATAAGACAGTGACTAACAAACTGTGCTTTATCTACAATACTAATACAATAGGTTGCGAACAATAGAATATGGCTAAACGCCGAATACGTGGAGACAGAATAGAATAACAGAATAACACTGCGACAATAAGACTAAGACCGCGACTGAATAATAGGAAGGCTTTTATACTAAGCCAATACCCAACAGCTTCAATTCTTTCTTCAGCTTTTGTTCTAATCTCTTCTTGTTCATGCATAGCTTTTTCCAAAATATTTGCTCGATGTTCTATTTCATCAATTTTTTTCAAAGTATTTTTTTCTAAAATATAAAATTTTGTTTAAATTTTAATTAAAAATTTAATTTTAATTTAAAATTTAATAACAAATTGTTAATTTAAATTTAAATAATACCTTCTTCATTATCCATTTTAATTAAAATAAAATATCTGAATATTTAAAAAAAATAAATTTAAAGATAAACCAGTTACTGTAAATGCTAAAACTAACTAAAAAAGATAAATTTATAGTTTAAAACTTTAAATATTTCAAGACTAGAAAATCTTTAAGAAAATTTTTATATTTGATTTAATTATAGAAAATTTTATTTTTAATTATTGTAATATTTAAATAGCTATACTACATTAGAGAAACCTTTAGATTTAAATATTAAGTAAATATTTTATTTATCCATTCTATTAAAATATTTTTCATTTTGATCATTAGATGCATTCATCCACACAATTTCTTGCATCCATTGACGACTTTTCCGACAACTCCTCCAACTAATTTAAATAAATAAAAATTAAATTTTTGATTCTTTTCCAAAAATAAGTAAAGATATATTGACATTTTATAGCTTTCTCGATTTTGTTTCAAGTATTACGGATTTCTATATTTTAATATTAGATAGAAAAAAATTTTAAGAGGACATAAAACACTAAGGACGTCCAAGACTCTTGGTCTTGAGTCTTGACTCAAGAATTTTCTTGTCTTGGGTTTAGTCATGGTTCTTGATGTTCAATCTGGTCTTGAGTTTTAGAAATTTTTAGGTCTATGACGTCCTTCGAAAAAGTTAATAAGTTTTCTACCTATGCCAGTGACCAATGATACACCTGCTGCCGCTAAACCATGCCAAAGTTTCCTCCAAAATGATGATCCGCTATCCTCGATAATTTTTCTCAATTTTCTGTTTTCTTCCTCTAATTGGTCTATGCGCTGATGAAGTCTCGCATTAGATTCAGCCATTTGCTGCAGCATATTTTCCATAGCATTCAGTCGATTATTTAACACATCAAGGATTTTTAAAAGATCTCTTCGTTCTAAAATAGGAATTATGTATAATGTATATGTGATTTTAATATGAATAAATGTTGTGTCACATCTAAACAAAAATAAGAAATTTAAACGGCCTGGAACTGATGTAATATTTAAATTATACTTACATAATTCTTTCCAACCTTCTAGAGTAAATCTTATCTAATTTATTTTAAATTAATCCCCGTACTAAACTTTAGACGGATTAAAAAAAATTGTACCTTGCACACTATCCATGGCGTTTAAAGTAAATATTAAGCTTGAAATTAAAGTATTTTTCTGAAATTAAATAAAATATTTAATAATCATTAACAGAATTATAAATAATATTTGTTACTTGACTATGTATTAATCAAGATGGAGAAAATTGTAGAAAATGATAATATTTATTCTATTATGAAAAAATAATAACTCCTGATTTTTAGACAATGTATCAGGATAAGGAAAGAAAATTTTATCCTATAATTGATTATTACATTCATTTAATTCAAACATTCCTAAAAAATAATTATGCTTCTCAACTAAACCAAGAACCAATCCATCTAAAGAATCGGGATAACAAATTGCCAATAGCCTTAAGACAACTAGAAATAACATTTCCAATTGCCGTCAAAGCACGAGCAATAACATTTCCAATTCCTTTTATTGCACGTCCAATAACATCAAAAACAGCACGAATTCCACGACCAACTGCTCGACCAATTTCACCAACTAAATCGTTAATAGCCTCAATTGCTCTAATAAGTGCAGAATCGCGAGAACATTTCTTAGCAGCTAAATTTAATAAAAATATTAATTACCTAAGATATTAAAAATTATTTCTTTTAAATTTAAACAATTCTTACTATGTATTATCCCTAATTCCTCTTTAAGCAATATGTTTAAATATTTTGAGAGAGATAAGGATAAATATGTACCTTCTCGTAATTGCCGATTTTCTTCTTCGAGACTTTCAACTTTATTCTCAAGCTCCTCTTGAGTTACCGTTCCATTTTCAATCATCTGTCCTATTTTCTCTATTGAATCATGAGCTTTTTTAATTCTTTCCTGAAGATCTTCATTGTTTCGAACCTAAAAAACATTTAAACAATTATTTTTTTAATTTTATTTTTTTAATTTTTTAAACTCAATCAACATTTATTTTCTCTATTACTTGTAAATATAAATAATTAAATTTTTTTCTAAATAATTTAAAAGTTTATAATTTAAATGCTTTTATTTACTTCTGTTCTATATTGAGATGTTCTACAAGATGAAGAACTACCAGAGGTGTTTCGAAATTTCGATTTTCGATTTTCGTTTTTCGATTTTCGAGGTTTTTTTCCTTTCGATTTTCGATTTCCGATTTTCGAAATTTTGTGATATTTTCGATTTCCGATTTTCGAATTTTTGAAAAAATTTGAATTTTTAGCGCCAAAAAGTAGGAATTTTGACTTATCGGCCATCATAAATTTTCAAAATTTTCGCCTGCGGCGCAGAAAAAGGAAGATTTTTGGCTTATGGATCCTACAAAATTTTCAAAATTTTCGCCTGCGGCGCTGAAAAATGAAGAATTCTGGTGACTTGGTCTTCCAAAATTCTCAAAATTTTCGACTCAGGCGGTAAAAAAGGAATCCCTGATCTATTAACAATATTATGTTATGGCTCCGGTATATTGTAGGATTTGCTTGAATTAATGTGGATTTGGAAGCCCACCCCCATGCCGGAACCTTATGCCTGTACAGCCCAACCTTATAAGTAAAGCGGCCTAGATCTGTTTCACTATATCAGGGGATTTTAATCAAATCCTCCATTATCCCTCTTAATCCTCACAGATCTCATGATGAAATATTACTATTTAACTTTCCACCCAGAGTCTGGAGACACCATGAAGCGGCTCAGAAAATCACCGGCTCCGGAGCCAAGATTTGAATAGGTCGGAGTCGGTGCCGTAGATTCGGATAACAAAATTTTGGGTTTGGATATCCGTGATTTCCCTGGATCTCCTATTCTAGTCATTATTTAGTTTTCCCCGATTCCTTAGAGATAAAGTAACTTTGGAGAGGAAAAGGAAATAAAAGGAAAGAAAATGTGGGAAGATAACCGAAAAGTACCAAAAATTTATTTTTCATTTTTTAATTAAAAAATTTTTTTCGATTTTCGTTTTTCGATTTTCGATTTTCGAGGTTATTTTTCTTTCGATTTCCGATTTTCGATTTCGAAGATTTTAAAAAATATTTTCGATTTTCGATTTCGATATTTTTGGATTTATTTCGATTTTCGATTTCCGATTTTCGAAAATTTTTTTGTTTCGAAACACCTCTGAGAACTACCTCCCATATTATTTTGTAAATTTATTTATTGTTTTTTTTTTTTCTATAATATTTATATTAAAATTAATTATTTTAAATAAAAAAGTAATTAATTTTAAGCTTTTTTAGATTAAATTGTTTTAAATTTGTACAAAAAATGTAGAAATAAAAGAATTCTGAGATTTTCTATTAATTATTAATATATGAATATTTAAAATATTTGAGATTTTATACCGAAATGATTTGAAAGAAATAAAATTGTAAAAACAAAAATAATTTTTATTTGTAAAATAAGAAAACATATGTATTTTCTTTTAATAATTTAAAAATATTATTTATGTAAAAAAATAGACTAAAATAATATTATGAATAATTTCAACTAAATTTTATTGTTTCTACTTTAAGGCCCAGCATAAGCTTTACTTCACCTTGCAGTTTTATCTGTCTTTCTGATCTTTTTCATTAAATTTATTTTTTTGTTATTTAAAGATATTTTTAAATAAAAACATTTATTCATTTTTGCATTAATAAATTTTAAAAATAAATTTGGGATTTTAAGAGAAATGTTTACCAGACATTTTTGTAAATTTCTCCAACAAAAATAAAAAATGTGACATTTCTGATTCAAATTTAAATAATTCAAAAAGTAATTCAACAAATATTTATTTATTTCCAACAATTTTATTCAAAATATGTTTTTTAAAAATAAAAATGTCTTTTACTTTACGAAGAGAGTGAATCAAAAAGGAAGAAGTCTCTAAAAATAAATCCAAAATTGTCCGTCCATTAACCAAACATTGGGCCACCATAATATTAAATAATGGAGAAACAGATATGTGACCGTGTAAAGTGCAGAATCGCAATTTTACATTTTTGGGAACAATTTTGTGAATAATATAAATATAAAAAGAAAAATTGGCCAATGTAAAATTAGCATATAAATACGAAAATCTAATAGTAATATTCGAAAAAATTTTGCCAGGGAATATTTTAGAAAATTACGGTGATCTTAACAAATATTTTCATTTCTTTATTTTATCATTAATTAATTATTTTAATTATTAAATGATTACTAATATATTATTAATTTAGTTATTAAGTGATCATAAATAATATTATTAATTAATTTGAGGGATATATTATTATTATAATATTTAATTTATTTTTATTTATTTATTTTTGTACTTTTAATCCATTTCACCGACAACATTTAAAAAAATTTTATTTTAAAATTGAATCAAATTTAAAAAAGTAGTTGTAATTATTTGAAAGAATAAATAATGTTTTGTTTTTTTATTGTTAACGATCATTCTTGTGATTGATAAAAATTTTAATAGAAAAAATGAAAATAGGCCAATAAAATATATTTGTTCTTACTAAGAATTTAGTAGATGTATTAATATATTTAATTATTATATATAAATTCGAAAAAATAATAAATCAAACAAACAACCTTTGATGCGACAAATAAATTTATTAAATTGTATTTAAATTTATATTTTATTACTGTTTTTGGAAGCTTCTAATTAAAAAATATATTAAAAAATATACCTAAATATTTTTTAAAAATTAAACATTTTCTATTTAATATAATTTTAAGATGAATAAATAAAATTAAATTATATTAGCAATTAATGTACATTCCACTTACTTTCTCATTATTATGTTTATTTTTACTCCAAAATATTGTAAGTTGATTTTTGATAATTAGTATATTCTTATTCGGAATTAAAAGTTTATTAAGTAAATATTATTTTTATTAAATATTTAAAATAATCGAGGCATTATTTAGAATCTTGTTTCATCTGAATTAATTTCTGAACTTGCAAAGAAAGCATTTGATTTGGAATTAAATTTTGGCAATTTTATTCATGGTAACCAACATATAGCTGATGCAATTCTAAAAATGCTGACTGCCTTCTATCCATTGTTAATTATTTTTATATGTATTATTGAAATTACTTTTAAATTAAAAAATTCTTAAGTCTAGAAAATATTTAAAAAATATTTCCAAAAAAAATTTAAACTAAAATTTTTGTATAGTCAACGTTTTATGATTTTTGTTGCTAATGATGGTGGAAATATTGCTAGACGTACTGATCATACTGAATGGTTTAAACAAAATGATAAACATGTTACTATTTATGTTACAACAACAAGTAACTCTTATTTGGGAAGTAGAGATTGTTATGGAGATATTTCTGAAGAGTTTAAAAGGTTACAAAAATATTCTGCTTAATAAATCTATAATAGTTAAAAAACAAATAAAATTTCCAGTTGCTATCCAGAAAAGGATACAATACTGCGAAGAATTGGAGACATGTGTGGAGCAGATGGAGGTTATAATCCAGAATCTGTAGCCGTACGTGCCGTTGTAAGAGCTGACGATTTAGGTTTGGCTAGTTCTCTTCCTGAATTTGCTATGAAGGACGAAATATTTACATGTAAAAATGCTACATCTCCCAGACAGCGCTGGCGTGTTGCTATTGCTTTATTTCAAGATTAGTAAGAGAATTTAGAATAAATGTATTCTTAATCACTCCTAGCTAATTCTTAACTTAATTTTTTTTTATTTTAATTAATTTCAGTAAAAAAGTATTGGACGAGTTAATAATGGTTAAAAATTCAGAAAATAATATAAGGTAATAATTTCTAAAAATTCTTTAAAACGTTGTTTTGTCAATTTCAGTTTTCAACTAGGGAATAAAGGCGCTCCTTTAAACATTCCAACAATTATTGCTGAGGGTAGGCCTAACAATTTTGAGACAAATTCTTTAGTGAATCTTCCATTAAATAATTTATATTTTGGAATTGCTGCTTTATTTGGAATTTTAATTACTCTGATTTGTATGGCAATAATGTAAAAAATAAATTTTAAATTAAAAATTGTTTAAAATAATTTATTTTAATTTTAGAACTGTCAGTATATGTTTTATAATTAAATACAATCAAAAAAAGAAATTAATTTGTTTGGGGAAGAAATATGAGTATTGTTGACATTTAGAGACGTTAACGACTCAAGACTCTTGGTCTTGGCTTTGGAGTGTTCGAAAATTTTATGTCTTGAACGTCTCTATTAACATGTATTTATTGAAATTTGTAAATGAAAAAATATACGTATTTATCCAAAATAATTATTTTCAAAATTTACAAAATCAAAAAATAAATATTTAAGTTTTAACTGTTAAAATCTCTTCCCTTTTCATGAAATTATGCTTCAATAAAATGTTGATAAATATTATACTTAAACGGGTTATTTTCCAAATCCTCTCCAAAATTAGTTTCAACAGAACAACACAATAAATCAACAAAAGGTTTATAATCTTTACATATTCCTTCAATTAATATTTTTTTATCTTAAATAATAATTTAAAAAATAATTTTTAAAAAATATTTTCAAAGACCAATACGTTTCCCATTTTGTGTAAAGAAAACATAGGGCAATTCTTCTTTAACTTTTTCTTTTGGTGGATATACTAATCCACACCCAAATATATTTTCATTTTTCCAAATAAATTTATTTAATTTAAATTCCTTCTCTTCATTATTTAATATATTTTTAATTAAAGCTTTGTGTGTCCATAATTCAATATAATAATTATTATTTCTAAGACCAAAAGCCATCCAATTTTCATTAGAATTTTTCTCAGGTTCAATAAAACATTTAATTTCATAATAAAATAAAGAATAAGTAATAGCATCATTATTTAATTTATTAAACGAGTTTACTGCCTCAACACGTGAATATTTATTTACACCTAAATTTAAATAATTAGTTAAATAATTTGTCAGAAAATTTGTTAAAATATTTAAATAACCAGTGATGGGGACAAGAGATGGGATATTTAATTCTTTTTGAACTACATGTACAAGCATAACCCAAAGTATCATACATAAACCAATTTATTGTATACAATTTTTTAAATTAAGGTAGCAACCCCGAGCCTTCGGGGGCGGGGTCGTCGGGGTCGGAGTTCGGGGGACGGGATGCTACCCTAGTTTGAATTCTACTTTATTATTTTGAAATACCTAATTTCTAGTGAAAAAAGTATTTAAATTTGACAAAATAATTTAGAAAAAATTGACAAAAGCTTCGATATGTCCAATCTAAAAGGATTACCAAGCACCACTTGAATAGCTAGATTAACTTTTATATTTTTTAAATCCTTCTTTAAAAGTTTTCCTTTATAAATTTCCCTACCTTTATCATCTATTCGTTTATTATATTTTAATTTCCCATTTAATTTCACTCGAATACATCCATTTCCTTGAATACAACGACCACTATATTTTTTCTCACATTTTTTGTTACAACAAGGATTAATGTTTTCAACTAATTTCCAACCATTTAGAAGCTTGACAAAATTCTAAAAAATTATTGAAAGGAGAGAAATAAAATAAATATTTATAAAAGATTATATAGGTATTTATTACCGTTCGTTTATTTGATCGCTCCAATTCACATTTTAATTTATTAATCCTTTTATTGAGAGTAACATTTGCTTTGTTTAACTTTAATAAATTCATTTAATTTTAATTTTAAATTTTTTACCAAATCCTTTTCCTTTTTTGATTTTTCTAATTCACCTAGTAATTTATTAATTGTTTTATTTAGCTCTTCGTTGTTTTCATTAGCCTTTAAAAATAAATTAAAATTAATTAATAATCTGTCAAAATTAAAAACAAAACTTTTAAAATCCCCGACAACAAAAAATATTTAAAAATACAATACCTTCTTAGCTTGTTCTTCAAGCACTAAATTTTTATTTTCTAATTCCCCGACTTCCATTTTAAGTTGCCAATTAATTTCTCCCATTATATTTATTTGTTTAATCATCTTTTTCTTTAATTTAAAATATTAATAACTTAAATTATTTTTATTTTTTACCTTTAATTTTAAATCGAAATTTACTGATTCATTAGACATTTTGAGAGAATTTAATGAATTTACGAAAAAGAATATCTGAAAATTTTGGAAAATAAAAATTAAAAAAAACACAAATCTCAAAATGGATTTGCTGATGAAAAAATTCAAAATCTATTAATACTAATAACCTTTACTTCTAATTACTAACTTATTAAAAATAGAATGTAGTACTATTTAACGGGATTTTTATTTTATGTTATGTGTGCATTAATTTGATGTTAGAGCTGTTTCGAAACAAAAATCTGCAAAAACTGAAAATATCCTAAATTCTCAAAATCGAAATTTTGAAACAGCTCTGTTCGAGGTATTTAAATGTTATTTAAGAAAATCCGGTCAATGGCAACAAGTATTTTAATTTAAATTAAAGAGGACAACTACAATAATTAAGGATAATTACAATAATTAATCAACTACAATAATTAAGTTTATACATAACTAGGAACGATAATTTTTGGAATTAAGGGCATAATATGTAATCAATAAGAAAATTGATCCTTTATTTTTATTTACAAATAGGAAAATATTTCCTTCTTTTAGGAATAGGTATGAATGCGAATAATATTGGAGAGGGTAGGAAATTTTATACAGGACAGAAGGAAGTTATAGCAACAAGTTAAAACAGTTATAACAGTTTAAAACAACAAGTTAAAGAAAAGGGCAATATTTAAATATGAAGTGTATATAAAACGAATTATAATAAAATATAAAACGAATATATCTAAAATTCCTCAATCCGAAATTTGAGGAATTTTTCGGATTATATCTCAATCCGAAAAATTATATCACAATTATTTAATGCCTAAATGCTTTAATCAAAACTTATTTCTAATATAAACCCATTTTTTACTTAATTTTGTTTTTACTACTTGTTAATTAAATTTCGAAGTCTTGAAAGGAATTCTTAAAAGGAATGGAAACAAAGGGAGGGAAAATCAACGTAAATTAAAAATAAAATGAACGTTTTAATCTTTTATTGCTTCTCTCTCTTCTGCTATAATTATTGCATTTCGAACATTTCCATTAATTTTTTCAAAATTTATTTCCTCAACAGTATTATTAACTATTTTAATTACTTCACTACATAATGTCTCTACAGCGTTCAGAAAATCCTTTTTAAGACTTTTTGCTTTTTTAAATTCAAATGGTCCAATATAAGTCTCTCTCATAATCGACCAAAATATCTTTTTTTGATTTTTAAATTTTTTAATATATTTATTATAACATTCATCTCCATCCTCAATTGAATATTCCCTTCCAATATTGCAAATATAACTAGCCAAAAAATTAAAAGAAATTTTTCCAAAATAATCAAATTCTAATTTTAAAGTAAAATGAATATTTATAAAGTCATATATTTTTCCTATAATTTCTCGTGTTAATTCATTAAAATCTGTTTCTGAAGGTTTTAATTTTCCTTTAAATGTTTTTTTAATTTTTTTCCATAAATTTCCATTTTTCTTTTTTAAATATTCATTTTTTCCAATAATTAATGACCAAATTTCCGACCATTTATTGTAACCAATTAATTTATTTATTCCAAGTAATTCATCTGTTTCGAGTTGGAATGGACCTGAAAATTCAAAAAAATTTAGGGAAATTTAAAATAATTATAATCTAAAATTGAATAAAACTTATAATTTTAATCTTGAAATTAATTATGAATTTATCCAGTTAGATACTCCGGGTTTATTTTCTCTCACCCATAAATTAATATTTTTGAATGATACAAAATACCTATATCAAATTAAAAAATCTTCCCAATTTTTAAAATCAAACCAATATATCTTTTTTGTGAAAAATCCTCAGGTTCGTAATTCAATTCCCATGGATATTCTCTCAAATTCTGCCAATCACTTTCTTTGTTAAAACCTAATTTTCTTTTCATATTTTGTACAAAATTAAATAAAATATTAATTCTATCATCTTCAAATTCAATAATAAGTCCTTTATTTTCAACAATTTCCTTTACTTCCTCAATTTCATCTTTTTCAATTTCATTTGGTATCTCTCCTTTATTATATTTAAATTCATTCAATTCTTCCTCATTTTCAATAATTTCTTTACCTTTTCCTTTTTGGTCATAAACTTGACTAGTACTTCCAACATTATTTGAAGATCCTTTTAATCGGAAAAAGTAAGCAAGTTGTGGAATATTCAAAATAGTAGGATCTTCAAAGAATTGAATTAATACAGCAAATAAACAAATATCTGCCTGAAAAAAATATTTTTCGTTTTAAATTTTTGTAAATACAAACTTTATCAAAACGGTATCGGGATCACGACAGATATCGGGTGGTATTTTTGAATCCCGATACTGTTTAACTCTAATACAAACAAACATTTGTAGGTTCTTCTCCAAAAATAAAATAATTTCCAACAATCATTTCTCCAATCAAAGATAAATTTTTATCAAAATTTTTGATAACTTTATTAATTGTTTTCATTTTTTTGTTGGAAGAAATTTGTTGAATTAACTAAAAAAATAAAAATTTGAAAGTAGAAATAATTAAATTCCAACCATATTTTCAAAATTATTTTCTCCTTCAATAAAATATTTTTTAACAATATTTTCAATCCATTCATTCTTTTTATCAATAAAAACACTCCAATACTTCAAATCAAATATTTGTTTAATCCCCCCTTCTACTAATTTATCAATATATTTATCAAAAAATAATTTAATATCCTTATCATCCTTTTCGTGTTTTTCAACTCCTTTTTCCAAACAAAAAAGTTCATTCCAAAATTGTTCATCTATTTTAACCAGAAAAGCTTCATTTTGATTAATTTCAATTATTTGGGGGTTTTTATAAAGTTCTTCCAATTTAGGCAACAATTGTTGATGTATAGCTTTATCTTTTGCTAAAAAATCAAATCCTCCATTTCCTTTTAAATCTCTAGTTGTTCTGTCTTTTATTAAAATTCTAAAACAAAAATTTTATCAAAGGAAAAAAACATACGGAAATAATATATTATCAACAATTTCTTCAACCTTTTTTTCATTTACATTTTCGGTTAAAGGTTTTCCTAAATGTTTTAATTTATTTATAATATTTTCCATTCCTTCAATAAAATCTCCATTAAATTGAATAAATGGAACTTGGCCATTTCGAGGAGAACCAAGTTTAAATTGGTTGTTAATTCTCTAAAAAATAATGTTTTTTTTTGAAATTAAAAATATTACACTTTTTTAAGTAAAATCTTTGTAATTTTATCTCTTTTAATTTAATTGTAAAATAAACAGTATATTAATTTCCCTCCCTCAAATAATTACGCCACTTAAAATAATTACGCCAAAAAAACAATAATTACCCCCAAACAGATGTCCTAAAACACGTTCGTATTTCAAGCCTAGTATAATTACTCTCACTTGATTAGTTACTCCCTCCAGAGGAAGGTCGAAACAATAATTACCCAGTGTAGTTATTGAATGATTTAACCCCCACCCCCTTTTTTTCCTTTCTATTTTTTATAATAATTATCATTTTATCATTCGAATGAGCTCTTCGAGTTGAGTCGAATAACACTAAATTAATTAGACAAAACAGAATCTCCATTTATTTATTTTAAAAATAAAACAAACATAAAATTGAATTTCTTTCAATTTTAACCAAATTTCCAATTTAAAACAATTAACATCCAAATCAGGCAAAGAAGAAATTCTTGGATATCTAATTAAATAAACAACATTTTCTTTCCAATTTTCAACCAAAAGTTTTGGATTTTCTGTTCCATTTTCTATTGGATATTTTAATAATAAACCTTTTTTAATTAACATTAAATTAATTTAAACAAAAAAAAACTTACAAAAAATATTTGAATTATTTAAATTTATTATTAAAAATAATAAAAATAACATTTAATTAATTTCTTCAGAATTAAAAAAAATCCTTAATTTATTTTAAATTTAATTTTGAAATATATTTTTGTCTAAAATTATTTGATTAAAAATTAAAAAAATATTTTTCTCTATTTTTGGCATGTAAATAAATGCCCAATTATTTCACCGATAAAGAAATATGTATGTCTACATATATTTACATTATGAAATTTAAAAATAAAATTTTGAATGAATATAGACTTTTATTTAATTGCACTTTTCTTTTTAAGTTTCCGAAAATGGATAAAGTAAAGTGCAAATATGTGATTTTATTAAAGAATACTTTTAAATAAATATATTATATTTGGAAATAATTAAAAATTTAATTAATTAAAAAAATATTTTTTTGTTAAATTTTTAAATAACTATTCAAAATAAAAAAATAAAAAAACTTTACATTAAAGACAATTAAGTTAAATAGATAAAAATAAATATAAAATATATCAAAATTTATTAATTTCAATTTTCTTATTTAAATTATTATTCTGTTTTATATTTACTTTAGTGTGCCCAAAAGGGCATAAGCCCTCCACTACTTTTTCCATTTCTCTCACCTATTTAATTTTACCGCCCGCAATTTATTTTGTTTTTAACCACGCCTACCTTTGGCTGTCAAGTTAGCGCTCGGCTGTCCCTAAAATCACTTCTTTCAATCCTTCTTTCAATTTCCAACTTCTCTCAAAATCTTATAATTTTCTAATTCCTTTAAACCCAATCAATTAAACCAACTTTTCTCCCTTCAACTGGGAGCAGGAGAGCGGAGCACTAACTTAAATTATTTGTTCGCATTTTCACCACATATTTTAATCACCAATTTATTCACACCGCGGATCCCGAGCTGTTATCGGACCGCTAAATTTATTTGTTAATTAAATAAATCTTTTCTTCTTTGGTGTGTGTATTTTTGGGGATTTTGGGTAGGCTGTCGTCGTCATCATCGCTTATAAGTTTAAGAGAACTTTTGAGTTCTCTGTCCTCCCTTTATAAGCGTCCGTCCCTCCCATAGCCGGAGGCCGTACAAATTGTGTGT